ATCAGAAAAATCTGTTAAACAAGCCCAAGAATTATTAAAAAAGAAAGCTGAAGAAGCAAAAAAACTTGGTGAAGATGTTGCTAAAGATGCCAAGAAAGATAATAAGAAATAAATAAGAAATCTTTTTCTCTGTAGTATTGATTGTATTCATATTTTCTTTTTATATGTTATTCTCGCATATTTTATATTCTAGCAAAATGTTTTTCTTTTACCTTATAAAGTTTCTATCATTCTTTTTCTGAAATAGTGATTTGAAAAAGAAACATAAATAGAAAATAGTATCATTGTATATGTATTAATTTATTAAGCAGATTAAAATGAATTCAAAAGGATGACTGATTTGTATAAGAAATTTATAAATGGTTTTATTTCACCATAAAACATCTCTGTAACTTTGTACTAGATGTAATACTATTGTGACAAGATTCACAACAAAAAATGAAAGTTTTTCATTTTAACAAATAACATATGAAAAACGAATGAATATAAACTTAAGCAATAATTGAATTTCCACACATTTTATATCTTTCAACATTATCTAAATCTGGATTTTTATTTGCTGTAGTTGTTGATGTTGATGATGATGATGACGATGCTGTAAAAACAATTCCATCATCACTATTCGTTATTGTTGATAATGCTGTTGAACTATTATTATTATTTATATTCTCATTGATATTAATACCAGGTGTTGATGCTTTAGAGAAATTTGATATTGGTGGACAGTTTTGATTATTAATAAAACACTGATAATTATCATCTGCATCTCGAAATGATGTTTCATTTAATTCATCACCACCATCAACTGCTGGTAATGCTGGTGGTACTGATGGTCGTTTTTGATTGACTAATTCATTTAAATGTACAAGACTCATACTACGTGTATGTACTTTATCTATTGTTTGTGTTACTATTGTTGTTGTTTCAGCATTTGATGAATCGTTTGTAGTTGACATAGCATTTGCAACTTGTTCTTTTATTGATATTGTACTACCTAGACTATCTTTTCGACTATTATTAACATATTCACATGATATACCCAATAAGACTGTTCCAACAAAAGTTTTTGTAGCCAATAGACTTTATTTTGAAAAATAAAATAAAATTCATATATATTTATGAAATATTTTTCTTACCATAAAAATGCTAATACAACATTGATGATTGATAGATTGGTTTTAACATTAATTGTTTGAAAAAGAACACCAAAAACAAGACAAGCAAATGGTAGTGGAATAAATCCTAATCGACGACTAAGTAAGTCTGTATAATCTGATAACGCCTTTTGAGAACAAAAAAATAACAATAAATATTTTGAAATTATTTAAAATTTTACATACAATATCTTGTTTTGTTTTAACCATATCATGAGCTAAACTTAATGTATATTCACGATAAACTTCCGATGATAATTCATTAAATTTTAATATAAAACCATGTTTAACCCAATCAACAAAAAATTCAACAACAAAAACCACAACTACAAAATCAATTAATGGCCAAAATTGACTCATATCCCAATTGAATTGATCAAGATTACGTACACATACAACAAATAATAAAATAACATAATGAAAACGTTCTCGACAATCACTACATGATAATTGAAATAAATTACTTCGATCAAATTTTTTAAAAACACTATGTTTCAATTCAATAAACTAAATATATAAAATAAAACAAAAAATATTTTATAGAGAATAATTGAAACTTACATTATTTGTTAACATTATAATTAATAACATTTTATTTTGAGAATTAAATGCAACATTAAGTGTTATAGCTTGAAGAAGAACAAGGATAGCATGGATAGCTAAAAAAAATTATTTATAAGAACTCGATTAGCTATTCTCATTAAACTTACTACAATAAACAATAGCAATAATAAGCCAAAGAAGTAATTTTCCAGCACTATGTTTACGACGTGGTTCAGTTGCTGTCCAATATACAGCATCAAGTGTATCTTGACCAAACGATGATAATAAACGATCACATACCTTCAAATTATATTAATTTATTTTTCTATTAAAATTCTATCGTATTTACTTCGAGCATATTAAAAAACATGTAAAGTTTAATAGCCGCTTGTGCACGAACTGTATGATATACAACTGAAATATCCATAAAACACATTGGTACAGCGCATCCAAGGATAACAAGTCCTTTTACCATATCAATAATTTGTGCTGGTTCAAATAACCGATTACTAAAACAAAACCCGGAATTAATTTTAAAGAAAAATTTAATAATTCTATTTACTGTCTCGAAGGTCGTAATCGACATAATGTAGCAATTGCTTGTATAAGAGCGATTGTAATACGTATTGGTAAATATGTCCATACATACAGAAATGTATCCAAACATTGACAAAAACCATATAGCATAAACTAAAACAAAAATTAGACTATTGTTTATTTCCAAATAAAGAAATATATATGATAAATTAAATTTGTATCTTTAAACGAGTGTAGCTGCAAGTAATTGTTTACTTCATGTACTACAGTTGTTCCTCGAAGATATAATTTATTTTTGCGAAAAAATAATAATTTGATTTTTCATTAAAATGAAAATCAAGTAAAATTATTTTTTTATTTTTCGCTTTATATTTATGAAGAGAAAATATTTGCATATACCTTTTCAAGACTTGATGACATTAAAAGAAAATTATATATTCTTTCTCGTTTTTCTAAATATTTTTGTTCTTCACATTCAAGCATATAATCTCGAGTAAATTCGGCTTGAATAAAACGCCAAAAGGAGAAAGGAACTATGAACATTTGAAAAAAAACAAAAAATAGAATTTTCTTTTAATAAAAATAAAATTTTTAGAAACCTTTCCGATTATTCGACATTGTCTCAGCCATGATATTATAATGAATACAATTTTAGATAGACAACAAATCGTTCTAGTGTGTAAAGTGCGCCCTCATCTAACAACCTATTCTGCAATATAATTGGTAGAACAATCGGTCGAATCAGATGCTCGTATTTCTCTTTGTGTCAAACGGAAAAAATATCGAATAATCGACTAACTGTTTAAATAAAACGAAGAGGATATTTTTTTTCTAAAATGTACGGAAATATGGTTCCATTAACAACAGTTGGTGCTGCACAAGTTTTACCTGGTACTGTTTTGCAAACAAATGGAAATAATTTACAATCAAATTCAGTTTCGAATAATGATTTAGTTATTATACAAGATACAACAGGAGCTACAAGTCAAGCTGAATTAATTAATCAATTACAAAATCATATAACTGAAAATCAACAAATTTTAATTATAACAGATGATCAAGGACAAGATCAATGTAAATTTATATTTTTTTTTCGTATTTATATATATATAAACATTTTTTTTTTCTTATTATTTTAGATGTTATTATTGATAAAGATCAAGATATTAATGCACTTTTACAAGATGGTAAGATAATTTAAAATATTTAAAAAAAAAATATCAGTTCAAAAATGATGAAGATTTTAAAGAACGGATATATGATATATTTTATGAATAAAAACCGATACACACTACAATCTGACTGATTTGAACTGATTAATATTTTTAAATACTAGTTTTTATTAGAATATTATTCTAATATGACTTATTTTATATCCTATTTTTTATTGATAAACTATTTGATAAAGAATTTTTGCTACACGTAAATTTCACGTGTAACATAGCGACATTTCTAATAGTTGGAATTTTACAACTGTTTTTATCTTCAATCTTTTTTAAATACCATCTTGCATTGGTATTTGAGAAATGACACTTTATTTACGACGTATTCTGTTACATAAATAGACGAAAATTATCTATTTATATTTATAGTGAATATGTTATATTTTTGCATTTCATCGGATTTCTCTAATTTGTAGGCTCTTTATTCAATCATTATACTGAACAACAACAAATGGCTCAAGTTCCTACTGGTTTACAACAACAAATTTTACAAATCGCATCTATGCCAACAATTCAAACAACACATATGCCATCAGTAGTTTCAACACCTGTACCTATACAACCAAAACCAACTCCAAAAGCAATTGCACCAGCTACAATGAATCCATCAATTATACCACATAAACAATCATTTCATAGCAAAGTATGATAAAAACTAAATTCTTTCTTAATATAGTCTACTATTCGGATATATATTAGGTAAATGCAAATGCTTTTCATGCTCAAAATGTTGAAGAATCAGTTCAACGTGTTACAGCACCACCACCTAAACGAAAACCAAGTAAAACTTTTTGTATTTTTCATTTCTGAAAAATTAAATTATTTCTTATAGTTGAAATACATTATGATCCAAAGGAAAATTCATTTCAAAATGTATTTTTAAAATTTCTTGCTGGAGAAAAACTTCCATCATTAGAAAATTTAGCTAGTGAATCAATATTACGTAAACCAAAAGATAATAGCTATATTGGTGCTGTTAATGCTGGAGTTATTCTTAGTTCAATTGGACAACCAACAGGTACAATGGGTTATCAAACATATATGGTTAACGATGAATCACATATTGAAGAAATAATGGTTATTGGACGACCATTTTATGATGATAGTAAAGGTGTTAAAATAAATCCATTATTAAAAAATCTTCCTTCAAATATGAATAATAATCAAACAACAACACTTTTACCACAAACAATTACATTAACATCAGATTCACAACAACAAAATATGAATACACTAACTAGTTTATTTCATAATGCACAAACTGTACCAAATATGCTTAATAATTCGGTAAAAAAAAAGTTTTTTTTTTCAATTGTTTTTATTTTTATCTTTTTTTGAAAATATTTGTTAGACAACAATTACATTACCACAAGATATACTTAATCAAATAAGTAATGGAACATTGACAGTTACACAAACACCTAATGGAAATGAAGGTATTGAATCAGCAACAGCATCAGCTGCTGCTATACTTAGTCAATTAAATAAAATTGTACAAGGACAACAACAAACAAATGATTCAAATAGAGTACAAAATGAAAAAGTATATCAATTTCATATGTATTTAACTAAATTTTATTCTTTTTTATTAACGTAGGATACAGCAGATGCACTTTTAGCTGCAGCAATATCAAAAACAAATTTTGGTACACATAATTCAAGTATGTAAACATAAATGAAAAAGTAAATTAAAATACAATCTTTCATTTAGATGGATCACAGGAAATGTATCAACAATCGATTACAACAAATCAATCAAATAATACGAAGTAAATTTAATTTATTCACCCATAGTATATATATATATTGCTTAATTTAATAGTTCATCTTATATGGATGTTGATGGTTCATCATTAGCAGCTGCTGCTTTATATAATATGAAAAATGAACAATTACAATTAGCAAATGCAGCACTTCAACAACAAGTAACATCTACTGATAACAAACAAAAAGAAATGCCAGAACAATCTGTTGCGACAACTACTGAAGCTGGACAAAATTTTACAGGCGAAGAAGGAGGTAGAAAAAGAAAAACAAAACTTTTATTTTTATTATGAAAAATTAATTTTGACTGAAGAAATAGGATCAGAAATACCATATGAACTTGGTCAATTTTTATTATACAAAGGTCATTTTCTTAATCTACTTCATTTTCCAATTTGGAAAGTACATACAAAAACACTGTTACTTAAATATGATACTGTACTTGCTGATTCAGAAATCGCATGGGAAGCAACAGATGAAGTAAGAAAATTTTTAATTTGGGATTAAATATATCTCAAGAGAGATACATATATATTCAATTTTGAATCAACTGAAATAATTTTCTTGATTAATTTTCATCCTGTCTATTTTAGGGAATGTTTTATACTAATGTTTATGAAGATTATATTCCGCTTAAATGTGAAGTTAAAGGTTTACATAATAATCAAGAAGTTGTTCGTATTGTTGATGAATCCCATCCAATAAAACTAAAGTAAACGAATATTAAAATAAAAGACAATAATTACTTTTCTTTTTCATATAGAATTCATGGTCATATGAGTTTCGTACGTATTCAACATGATGTTTATGCTCAAGTACTTGTTAATCATGTTTATGATGTTGATGTATTACCAAGAATAAAAGCTAATACTGGTTTGATATTTTTTTTTAAATTTTATTAAATAAAAATACAAAAATTTCTATTAGATGAATATGCAACATATATTCGATTAATCGATGAAATTCTCGAACAACGTTATAATTATGTTATTCAATCACGACGCACAATAGAAACATTCCCAGTAGGCTAATTTTCAAATAAATGTTTCTAAAATAAAACATATTCTATTTCATTAGTGTGCAATTGCTAAATATCCATTACTTGATATTATAGCTCAACCACAACGACAATTACATTGTCAAGTAAATTTTAATAAAATTTTATCGAATGACTTTAATAATTTGGTTATTTTAGGTTACAGAAGATAAATCACAATCAGTTTCACATACATTACGTTTTCATGGAAATCAATATGATGTTGATACATTAAAAGCTAGCGAAACACCATTACAAGTATTAGTAAGAAAAATCCAACTGAATTTTTTGAATTTCGTTTTTAAATACAAAATAAATATTTATTTTTAGGAAATATTTGTTTGTGAAAATATTGCTGCTTTAGCTCAAACAGCTCATCATCTAAAACATCATGTTTATCATATGTTTTGTCATGCACAACAAAAAGTAAAAATTACAAATTACTTTCTATTTCATTATGTTATTTGATTTTTGTTTTCTAGGTTGCTGAATTACAAGCATTAAATCCAACAGCTGATGCAACGGAATTAATTAGTGCAATATGTAGTGATACAACATGGTTACAAGAAGTAAGAGTTTACTTGGCTTGTCTACAGGAGGAGGTGATTCCGTCACGGTCGTTTGTAATGAATGAGAACCTGGACACTGAGTCGTTTATGCGTCATGAAACAAGCGAAGCGTGACGGAATCATGTTTTACGTAGACAGGGCCACTTTTTTATTTTGTTAAATTTAATTTTTAAATTACTTTCTTTAGTTATTTGATCGATTTGATTCAATAATACAACAAGCTGATACATATATTTTTTCGAATGTTGACATAGTTTGGTAGAGAAAAAAAAACAAAACGAATGATCTTAGAGATGTATATTCAACGCTAGTCAAAAAAAATTTTTCGAAAGAAATATATATATATCAACATATTCGATTTTGTCTGTATGTATGTATTCAATTTCTTTTTTCTATACATCATGTATTGTAACTATTTCAAAATTGTTCTTTACATGTCTCTGCTCGTTTATGTAGAGTGTTTGTTATTGTATAAATAAAAAAAAACATGTTTTCATAATATATATCATTATGAACATTCAGAAGAATCTTCTTTAATTTTAGGAATAGTTTTATAATAGCTCTTCGATGTTTTTTTTGTCTAAGATAAAGAAAATAACAATACAAGATGGATGATACCAAAATGAATGACCGAATATTCGGCGCATGCCTTATTATATTTCTAAGCTTGAATCAATACTTTTAAAAGTACAGATTATTAATCATTCTATCTTAACCTTGACAATAATAGTTAAAATCATTTTGAATATAAACAAACAAGATATAGTATTTTTTCAATAGTCAAAGAAATTTAATTCGCTTGTATCACATATCAAATCACATAAAAAAAAGGTTTATTTATTTTAAATACATATTTGAATATAAATAGAATTTGTTTATGATTAAAAATCAAATGGATCAGCAATTTTTGCCAATGTTGCATCAAGTAAACAACCATCGATAAATTCTGATTTTGTTAAAACTTTATCTTGATTTGCATCAAATGAAAGCATAAGTGTTTCTGTATAGATTTTTGCATCTTCTTCAGGTAAACCAACA